TGTGGTAGTGGGAATAGGGCAGGACCCAATGAAGATGTCTGGAGACAGAAGAGTAGCTTCAAAAGATTCTTTATTTCATGCATGGAGAGAAATCATACACAGCTTTCCAGATGTACAGAGTTTCTCTGACTAACTGGTAAAGGGGCAGCCCCTTTATACCAAAGTAACACAATACACATTCATGAAACTCATACTGTTATCTTACATTTTAAAAACTCACATTCCTTCCCCAGCTGCCTTTGCAACATCAAAGGGACAGCAAGACCTTGACACTTAGTGAGGCCGCCACACTCCTGGTGCCACACTCCCTGTTCTTCTTCACACAAGACACATTTATGGGTGCCGGACGTAAATTCTGCGTGAGATGCTCAAACTATGCAAGTTGAACTGATAAGCTTGTTCAAAACCTATTAAAGCTGACTAATAAGCAGTGCAAAAAGTGATTACAAGTCCTGAGACCATTACATTTACAAGTTTCACATTGTGGCTTTTAAGAAAAACAAAAACATCAATTTCAGTGTGAAGTGACCTTTTAACATAATGACATACCAGTATCTGCTATGCTGGCATCCACAAGAGGATAACAAACCTTATCAGTAGTTATTTGTAAAGTGTGAGAAATACAACTTGTGTAGTCTCACATGGTCCCAGCACAATGTGTGACAGTCTTTCTCACTTTCCATGCATGTCTGTTTGACTCACAGACTGAGGGAGATCCTGATGGTGGCCAGCTCCAACATTAAAACTCCCATGATGAGTGTCCCAGTGCTAAACAACGAGAGAGCCTTAAACAGGGCCAAGACGCTCCGTAAGAAACTCAACAGGGTGTATCTGGCTGAGGTAAGAAGTTCCTCTTGTGAAATTTTGTTTAATCTCTGGTCTTCTCTGTTGGTTTGACTTGTCTTCCCATGTATCATTTTCTCTGCTTTGTTGAGCATCTTCTTGTTTCCTTATACCAGTATTTGTACATCTTTGACACAATCAATCATGAGTTATTAATGGACAAGTTAGAAAAATATGGGATCAGAGGAATGGTTCTGAAATAGATTAGAAGTTATTTGACACAGAGGTGTCAGTTTGTGAAGTTGGGTGAATACCAGTCAAGTGAGCTGCATATTGTATGTGGAGTGCCTCAGGGTTCTGTTTTGGGACCTAAATTATTTATATTATACATTAATGATATATGCAAGGTTTCTGATTTAGTGAAAGTGGTTTTGTTTGCTGATGACACTACCATATGGGCATAGGGTGAAAACCTACAGCAACTCTCTGGACGGGTTTCACAGGAACTTGAG